ATTCAGGCCAGACAGCCAATGAGAGCTGGGGTGGGGAGCCTGATTCGGCCCAGACAGCCAATAAGAATGAGAGTACCGGGTGGGGGAGCCCAGGGGGTGAACTCTGGACCCCAGTTAAGCCTGAGTCTGCATATACAAAAAACAGCATGATCATGTCCCCTGTGTCCTCTACTTAACCTGGTAACTAGACCCCAGGACTCAGGGATGGGCCCCAGTTGAGCGCGCTCTCAGCCCAAGGCCATGTAGATTGAGGGGACGCGGTGGAGACTGGACGAGGCAAGTGCCCGGGCCAACTTCTTAACCCGTTCTGCCTGCTCCCTGAGAAGACTGATGTGGCTTCAACTTCCAGGGGCTTCAAGTACCCGCCCTCCTCAGCCGGGCCCTGCATCGGCCATATGGCAGCTTTGGGGTTCAGAGTCCGGGGTCTGTGTGAATGGCCGGCCCCTCCAGGCAGCCCACCTGGGTTTCCTCTCGAGTGCTCCTCGTCCCCCTCCAGCTCACACAGCCCGCAGCCGGCGGTATCAATGAGCAGCAGGGGCAGGGCGGTCTCCTCCGTGCTGGTCACTCCCGGGAGGTCCCTGGGACAACAGGAGCCAGAGAGTGAAATCTCAGACAGAGGCGTACGTCCCCCACTTCCTGCAGCACCCGCCCTCCTCAGAGGAAAACGGCAGCCCAGTCGGGAAGTCTGGAGCCACAGGGACCATGGACCGCTGCGCTGGGAGGGGTCCGAGTGGCGTCAAGCTGAAGTCTCCAGGGAACATGTTCCACTCAGCTTGTCACCAGACACGGCCCCTCAGGGCTGGGCGAGGGCGACGGTCACTCACCTCAGGAGGTGCTCAGCCACCGAGGGGTGTGCCACCAGCTGCCCGTGGTACAGGGCCTCGGAGGCCCAGCGCGCGATGGCCTGGTGCATGCGGTACTGCACGGTCAGCATCCGCACCTGCTCCGCACAGAACCCCGCCAGGCGCTCCATCAGGCTGAGGGACAGCCCCGCCAGTGCAGCCCTGAGGGGAGAGGAGGGTCAGGGAGCCCAGGACCCAGAGGGTGTGCAGGGCTGAGGGAAGGAAAACACAGGGTCCCAAGACCAGGGTGGACGGGAGGGTTGAGGGGGGAAAAACACAGGGACCCAGGATCCAGAAAGGCAGGGAGGGAAGGAAATCACAGGGTCCCAAGACCCAGGGTGGACAGGAGGTTGAGGGGGGGAAAACACGGGACCCCAGGATCCAGAGAGGGTGCGGGGGATGCTGAGGGAAGGAAAACATAGGGTCCCAAGACCCAGATTGAGGGGGAAAAAACCACGGGGACCAAGTTTCAGGAAACGGGGGCGCTGAGGCAGGGGAAACAAAGGACCCAGGACCCCGGGAAGGCTGAGGAGGGTAAACATAGGACCCCAGCACCCAGAGAAGGCGGAGCACTCAGCTGGGGCGCATGGGCTGAGCTGTGGCACACAGGACCCCAGAACTTTGAGAGGGTGGGGAGGGGGCAGTGGCTGAATGGAGTAAGCACAGGCCCCCAGAACCCAGAGAGAACAGAGGAGGCCTGAGTGGGGCCATGTGGGGCTCCAAAGCATAGAAAGCTGAGTGGGGGCCAGCGAGGCCCTGGATCCAGAGAGGAGGTGGAGGGCTACGCAGGGACCACAAAGGATCCCAGAATCCAGGAAAGGTGAGGCGGGGGGACAAGGTGCACAACAGCCCTCAGTCTCTGAGGGGTGTGCACCACCCGGAGGGACGGTCCCCTGAGAAGCACGTCTATCGTTTGGCTGAAGCTGAGCCCCACAGGTGAATTTCATCCCAGGTCGGAGACTCAGGGTCCCACCTGTCACCATCAGACCTGCCAGCCTGGTGGCCACAGGCCTCTAAGGCCATGACCTCTCAGAAGCAGATCACCAGGCCCGTCCTCTGAGGCCCCTCTGTGTGGGTCTGAACCCCCAGCCTTTGATTTCATAGCTGAGTGCTTAACTGTGTGCACCACCCAAGGACCCTCAGACCTAGCAAATCAGAGGACGGAGGGGAGGGCCGGGGAGGGCTGGGGTGGGGAAGGGGCCCCAGGCAGGGGGCCTTACTTGTGCGAGACCACAGTGGGGGGCAGCTGTTTGTGGTCCCCCGCCAGGATGCACTTCCGGGCCTTCAGCAGAGGAATCCAGCAGCTCGCCTCCATGGCCTGGGCGCACTCGTCGATGACCACCACGTCAAAGTGGCCCTCGGGCAGCAACTTCAAAGGCCCGTCGGGAGAAGCACCTGGCCGACACAGGGACGCCAAGACGTCACAGGAGGCTCCGGTTTGTCACGGCACTAAACGTGACCGCTGCACGCTCAGGAAAGTGGTGGCCACAGCCACGTGGGACACAACCACACACCGTCCGTGAGGCTCACGTTAAATATGAAGACACGGACCGGATGTGAGCGCAAGGATGGGAAGAGATGAGCCCAGACAAGGTGTGAAAACAAGAATGAGTAAAGTGTGCCAGGTAACCCCACCACGAAGCTGGGTGCCCCCTGCACAGACACAACACGCTCGCAAGATAATACACATACGTACAACGCACACCATGATCATGTGACGTTCGTAACTGAGAGGCTGCGTGGTGTGCAAGAACAGGGATATGCATCGTACTCATGTAAAAATCAGCTGTTTTAATATTAGATGGCAGACTGAAAAGACAAAATCACCAGGGCTCACAGGTCATTCAGAACCGGCAAACTGGTTCACAAAGAGAGAGAACCTGGCCTAAACGCATGCGTCCCTGGCGGCAGGGCTTCGAAGGGCAGGAAGCAGAGCCGGCAGGAGCTGCAGGGGACGTGAACGAGTGAGGGGATCCCCGTCCTTGAGGAGAGGCCGAGCGGGCAGGAGGGAGGCACTCCAGAGCTGAGACTCACGCTCCACCACGTGCCGCGTGGGCTGCCATTTATAGCGCCCTCCACCCAAACCCAGTACACGTGGCATCTGCCAGGGTCCAAGGCCACCGCTCCTCTGCCCTCCGTCAAGCCCCGCCGCAGTCTGCACGCTGCTGTGATGTGGAACGCTACACCACCAGGATTTGAAAACCCAGCACGGTGGAGAGCTGTCAGTGCAGCTTCCAGACTAAGGCAGACTAGAAGGAAAGGCCTGGTGATTCTGAAATAACATTTGGCAGGTGACATCAAGGCAAGTACGACTCATGGCGACACTACAAGCAACAGATCTGAACCCCGCCCCGTCCTGTGCCTTCCTCCCAATCTCTAACGCACTGGAGCCCGTTGCTACCGTCGTTCTGTCTGGTTGAGGGTCCTCCTCTCCTTTGCTGTCCCTCCACCTCTGCAAGCATGATGTCCTTCTCCAAGGAACAGCCTCTCCTAACAACATGCCCAAAATACATGAGACAAGGCTTTGTCATCTTTGCCTCCAAGAGGCTTTCTGGCTGCACCTTCCCTAAGACAAATCTGTTTGTTCTTTGACAGCCCATGGAATATTCAGGACTCTTCTCCAACCCCACAGTTCCAAGGCATCAATCCTTCTGTCATCTTTATTCACTGTCCAGGTCTCACATGCATAACAAGTAACTGAAAAGACCATGGTCTGAATCAGGTGCACCTTAGTCTTCAAAGTGACATCATTGCTCCTCAAGAATGTGGGGAAGCTCCTGATGGCCAGCTTTCCCAAAGCGTTATGTCTCCTGTCTCTTTGAAAATCCTGTGAGTAGCAGCAGAATGTTGTCTGACAGAGGCTGGAAGATGAGGCCCTGAGACTGTGAAGACATCCTCATATACAACCGGGGAAGAGCTGACTCCTCAGAGCAGAGCCCACGCCGGGGTGGGGTGGAGTAAAGAAAGCTCTCACCCAACACAAGAACAGAAGGGACAGTGGCTAGAGCAATGGCCTCAGACCCGGCGGAGACTGTGAGGACGGCACGGACTGCATGGGGTTCCCCGTGGTGTACACAGGACCCCACGAGTCGGAGGGAACCTCATCTAGAAGCAGGGAGTCAAGGAGAAGCGAGTCCTGAGAAGCACAGGTTGAAGCAGGACCCAGCGGCAGCACACGCGCTTATCAAGCAGATGTGGGACATTTACCAACATGACCCTGTTCTAGGACCCTGTTCGAGACTTCCTGATGGAGTCTGCAGGAATTTGAGTGATAAAACAAAACACATTTTCTGCCCCCAAAGGGATCAAACCTGAAATCACCAACAGAGAGACTCTGAGAAAGTACCCAAGGCCTGGGAGCTAGCCAGCACTATCCTCAAGAGACGAGGGAGAGAGCCAGGGGCGGTCAGAAAGGATCCGTGAACAAAGACCAGCACAGCGCACCCGTAAACACGGGGCCCCAGAGCAGTGCTGTGTGTGAGGGGACAGTCAAGCACAGGGTGCCCCAGTCAGGAAAGAAGAAAGGGCTCAAGACGGTGACCTCAGCAGCCACCTAAGAAAATCAAAAAGGAAGAGCAAATTAAAGCCAGGCTGTCAGGGACCTCTCCAGAGAAGTGAACAATGAAGCCAGTCTAGAGACTAAGGTGCGTCTGATCCAGGCCATGGTCTTCGCAATTACTTGCTATGCATCAGAGAGCTGAATAACGACTAAGGATGACAGAAGAAAAATTTATTGGAGTTGTGATGCTGGAGAAGAGTGCTGAACACATCATGGACTTCTAGGACAAGAGACTCTCCTGGAGAGGGTGAAAGCAGGCTGCTCCTTGAGGTAAGGATTCTGAAACTCCATCTTACATACTTTGGGCAAGTTGCCAAGAGAGACCAATCCCTGGAGAGGACATCATGCTTGGTGGGGTGGAGGGGACAGCGCAGGAGAGGAAGACCCAGGATGAGATAGATTGACCGGGATAAATTATTAAATTGGTGGGGAATCAAGCAGGGTTCAGAGCTGTTGTATGCTGGGTCGCTGTAAGTCTCAACCGACTGGACGTCACATAACAACAGCAGGAAACAAAGGCAAAGAAAGGAGGGACAAGCAAAGATTAAACAGAAAAATAGTAACTGTAGTTGGAACCTGAGAAGAATAAAATAACTACGCCTCTGGACCTGTTGGGCTTAAGTTACGTGTCCGGCTGCTAAGTCACAGGTCAGTGGTTCGACTCAACTGATGGCTGTGGAAACGCGAGGCGAGGGGTCACCAGGACTGAGGACAGAGCCATCAGCAGTGGGGTGTGGGGTCCACTCAAGATAATCCGGACACTGAGAGAGAAAGGACTCGCTCAACTGTCTCTACAACTGTCCCCTACTAGGAATGGGCGCTGATAGAACTGAAGAGTCCATGGATGTCAAAGGGACAGCAGGGGACGTTAACAAGTTACACGGTCAACCGAAAGCCGAGGTAGAACAGAGGAAGCCTCTGAGGGCCGCCAGCTCCCTGGCGAAGCAGGAACGTGACGGCTCGCCTGGAAATAAAGCGAGTGACGGACGGGAGGGTGAAACGCGGCGGCGGTGACTCTGCCTCAGAACAAGGAGGGAGGCTGGTCGACAGGAGCCCCGTGTGCTGGCCGGTGCTCATCAAGGACACAGAAGAGAGGACCTGACTGTCCCCACATCTATAAACAAAGACCAGCAGGCCTGGTGGCGTGCTTGTTAAAGCACTGATCAGGTGGGCGGTTCACCTCCACCAACCACCTGGCATTCGACGTGCGGATAGAGCCACCGCTGGGGACGCCCCCTGGGGCAGCTCGACCCTGTCCTGAAGGGTCACTGCGGGTGTGTGCCATCAAGTCAGAACTGGCCCAGAGCTGACCCGCCAGTGCGTTTCCGGAGGCTGTAAATCACGTGGGAGAAGAAGGTGCGTCTTTCACCAGGAGACCAGCCGGTGAATTCGAACCGCGGGTGTTTGGGCTCGTGGCGCACCTCCTTACCACGAGGCCACCAGGGCTCCCCCGGGGTCACTACGGGTCAGAACTGAGTCACTGGCGGTGTGCTGGGCTGGTTCCTGAGGAAACTGATGGTGGAGTTAACAAGAGACCAGCCAGCGCAGAGGTGTAGGGCGGCCTTGTTGTTGTTGTTGTTGTTGTGGGGTGCACTGCGCCCTATTAGGCCCGTGGCGCTGCTCACCCTCCCTTTCCCAGAGGAAATGAACCACATTTCGGTGAGGCCACCGAAATGAACCACGGGAAACAGCGGCTGTAACTGGTCATCTCTGCCAGGGCCGCAAAACGACTGGACCTCCGCTTCCCAGGAGTAACTATCTACGACCCCCAGTCTGCTCCCTGACCTTGTAAAAACTGCCAGCTCCCCATTCCCCATGTCCCTGTCAGACAACATAAAACCCCACTCTAAGCAGCTGCAGGTCTCTACCCTACTGGACGCAGCCCGGCAGTATCCCCTTGATAAACTGTCTTTCGGGGCCTGAATTGCGTCCTGTCCTTTCTCGGCGACCTTACACACCCGACGCTGAAGGCTGAGAGAACCGCACCCCGATCCAGCGCTCCCCCTCCCTCGGGCCCCCCCAGCAGGCCGCACTCACCAGTGTTGGTGGCCAGGACCACGTGGGCGGAAGCGAGGCTCTGCAGCATGGCCGCCTCCTCCCTCTCCTTCAGCTCCTTCCGCAGCTGCCTGATCTCGGTCTGCAGATGACCCCTCTCCCTCCTGTCCTGGGCCTTCTTGGTTTTCATCTGGAGGGGAGCAGAGAAAACGCGGCTGTCCTGACACGACCTCGCGTTTCTTCATTCAGGGGTGGAGGTTGTGTTGTTGTGCGCCATCCAGTCGAGGACCACGCACAACAGCCCTGCAAGCAGGCAACAGAACCCGGCCCGGCGCGCTGCCAGCCTCAGCGTCCACACCGACCCGCTGCTGCAGGACGAGGCTCTCACCCCATTCACCAGCAGCTCCTGCACCAAAACGCCCCAAACTTCCCTCAAAGGAGCAACAGAGGGGAATGTGGCGAAGCTCCTGACCCCTCACCTGACTGACAGACCCGGGCCCACAGCTGTGGAGGTTTCCTTCTTCAGTCAGTGTGGCAGCAAGACTAGAGGGAAACGCACCGACCACCTGCATTATACACCTGACAGGACCTTGACTGCAGGAAGTGAAGAGGACCTGAAGCACTTAGTAAAGATCAAAGACTACAGCCTTCAACGGGGACGACATCTCAACGTCAAGACAACAAAAATCCTTACATCTGGACCAACAGGCAACATCGTGATGGAAGGAGAGTGCCTGAAGTCGTCAATTAGTTTCTTCTACTTGGATCCAAAATCAACTACAAGTGCAGCAGGTAAGAAATCTAAAGACACGCTGCGGCTACTGCCGTTGTTATGTGGCGTCAAGTCACCTGGAACTCACAGTGACCCCGTGTGTGACAGTCCAAAACTCTGCTCTATCCTGTGACTCACAGCGACCCCGTGTACAACAGCCCAGAACCCCACTCTAGCCTGAGCCAACCTTATTGTCTCTGACACACCTACCCCCACTACCCCAGTCACTGAACCAATCCACCTCATAGAGGGTCTTCCCCTCCTGCGCTGTCCCTCCACCCTCCCAAGCATGAAGTCCCTCTCCAAGGACCAGTCCCTCCTTGCAACATGTCCAAAGTATGTCAGACAAAGCCCCAGAATCCTTGCTTCCAAGGAGTAGCTTTGTTTAACCCTCTCCAGGATGAATCTGTTTGTTTTCTTAGCAGTCCATGGAATATTCAATACTCTTCTCCAGCACCACAGCTCAAAGCCATCAATTCTCCTTCTGTCCTCCCTAGTCATTGTCCAGCTCACTGATGCATAACAAGTGATTGCAAAGACCACGGCCTGTATCAGGCGCACCTTAGTCTCCAGCCATGCTACACTGGGGCAAAGCGCCGCCCAGGACCTCTCCAGAGTGAAGAACAAGACATCAGTTTAAAGACCTTGGCACCTGACTCAAGTCACAGTATTTCCAAGTGTTTCCTAAGCACCTGAAAGTTGCACAATAAATAAAGATGACAGAAGGATCGACGGCTTTGAATTGTGGAATTGGAGACATGTCCTGACGGCCCCACAGAACAAACATTCTGTTCCAGAGGAAGAGCCCAAGGGTGCCGCCTAGAGGCAAGGACGTGGAACTTCGCCCCACAGTCTCGGGACACGTTGGTCCTTGAACAGGGACATCGTGTCTGGAAAGGTGGAAGGTCATCAAAAGAGAGGAAGAGCCTGAAGAAGACAGAGTGTGACCATGGGCTTGACATGACAGACCGTGAGAAAGGTACGGGTCAGGGCGAGGCCCGGGTCTGCTGTCACGGGGTCACTGGGAGTTGTAGCTGACAACAGTCAAGACTGACAACAGTCAAGAGAGAAGGAAGCTTCTACGGCTGACACTGCACTCAGACCGTGAGCGGACGGTGCTTCTGTTTGCGAAGGCCACATTTCTGTGTTGTTCTGGCAGCACTGAAGAACCGAGGCCCGGCAGGACGGGCCGGTCACTGCGGAGCGTGTAACACAGAGAAGCAAACAACTCGGCAGGGCCGGACCCGCCTTACGGAAAAGGCGCATCTCAGGTGCCCTCCCCGCCTGGCTCCCGGCCCACAGCTGGGCAAGCCTGCCAAGAAGGCCCATGTGCGGAACTTCTTCGGCCAGGCGGGGTTTTGTCCATTTCGTGGTTTGATTTTCTTACTGGTATCTAGACAACGTGATCCGTATAGGAAGGTCTCTATAAAACGCTGAATACAGTTCTCGTTCAAAAGCAGCTGTCCCCAGAATTCCCAATTCTCCTGGATTCCAGACTTTCTAATGTCATGGGGGCTGGTGGAAGTCCCAAAACTACTGCCTCCATCTTCAAACCTTAAACCAAAAAGATTGCCAGAAGCCTTCTAAAACCAAGCAAGGGTCTGTCAGAGCTGGTGAAGGGCACCGGCTTTGAGCACACTACGCTCTTCAGGGCTGCACAGGACCAAAGTGACAAGAGGAACTCAGGTTAGAGAGGCGTGGGGGGCGGGGTGTATGTGAACGAGGAGGAAAAGGGGCCTGGAGAACACCCTCAGAGTCACGGGACTACGGACACGGGAACCGCGGCACTGGTGCGTGTCTCGGTGTGTAAATCCTCAACCACAAAAGTAAATGTATTTTTTAAAAATTAATGATAGTAACACTTTTTTAACAAGGAAACTGGGGCCTCAAAGGGGAAACGAGTCTACAGAGCCGACCACCTCCACAAACCACGGCCTCTTCCACTCTGAGACTAAGGTGCACCTGATATTCAATCACTTGCTGTGTATCCGGGAGGTGAACAATAATTAAGGAGGATGAAAAAATAACTGATGCCTTTGAGCTGTGGTGCTGGAGAAGAGCACGGAACGTCCTACAGATGGCCGAAAGGACGCACAGGTATGTCTTGGAGAAGGTGCGGCCAGAGTGTTGGTGAGGTTTCGTCTCTCATACTTTGGGCATGATGCTAGGCGGGGCTGTAACTAGGAGAAGGGCATGCCTGGAAGGGTGGAGGGTCAGCGAAGGAGAGGAAGACCCTCAACCAGGTAGACTGACGTGGTGACGGCTGCAATGGGCTCAAGGTGTTAGACTGTGAAGCTGGCACAAGACAGAACAGAGTCCAGATCTGGTGTTCACGGATTGCTCTGAGTTGTTCCCAACTCAACTAAAAACATTTCTTGATTCTCAGAAATGTTGGCTGGGTTGGTGTTTTGGGATTTTTTTAAGAATCATGAAATATTAATATGCAGAACTTTAAAAAACTAACAAGAAAATCCAAAGAACAGTCTCAAGAGCCAAGAAATCAAAGCCCGCACTGACTGGGCCAGCGCTGCACAGGTCTCGCCAAAGCGCTGTGGGCCAGGGGTCACTTGGAAGGCTGACGTGTGCCTGACACGGGCACAGAATTTTCAGTCACCTCAGGCACACGTGAAACGTGGACAAAGAACAATGATGAGAAAAGCTTCAACGCCTTCACACTGCAGTGCTTGCCAAGAATACTGAATACATCACAAGCAGACACACGTAGGCTGGGAGGAACCCCAGCCGGAATGCCCCTCAGAAGCACGGATGACTGACAGCAGAGGCCAGTCCCTGAGAAAGACATCACGCCCGGGTGGAGGGATGGTCAGTGAGAAAGAAGACTCTCGACAGGACGGGCTGCCGCGGAGGCAGCAGGCGAATCGGGACTGTGACGGACACACCACGCTCATTCCTCCGAGAAGGGGCACGCTGGCCGCGGAGACACCTACCAAGACCTGGTCCATGTCCTTCCTGATGTCGGCGACGATCTGGGCGCCGTCGCTCCGCGCCAGGACCGCGTCCAGGGAGTGATGCTGAATGGAGTCCAGGAGGCGGGCCGGGTGTCCCAGGCGCAGGACCCTCTGCTCGCAGCGGGCCAGGCGCTCCACGAGGTTGTCCACGGCCACGTTGGAGGGGGCGCAGCACAGCACCTGGGGAGGCAAGCCCGGTCCTGTGTGACTGCACACGCACATGTGCACACGCACACATGCACACACACCCACACATGCACAGGAGAAGAGCTGGAGGAGAGCGTGAAGCGCTTGGCTGTTAACAGAAAGGTTGGCAGTCCGCACCCACCAGCCAGGCAGCTTCCCCAAACCGCCCAGCCTCAGAAACCCCGTGTGGCAGGTGCCCTTTGTCCCCGGGGCCCGCTGACCGCAGGCTGGAACCGACTCCACAGCCCGCCCCGAGCACCCGGTCAGAGCTGCCCTGAGCAGCTGGCCTTCAGGGTTCCCACCCCAGACTGGACAAACAGGAGGCCTCTGTAAGGACCTGGGCGTGCAGTCTAAGTCCATCAGCAGCTCCACGGGAGAAGGATGGGCAACCTCCTCCTGAGACTGACCGCCTCTGAAAACCACCGCAGGGTCAGCTCCACAGCACGTGCAGCATGCGCTCAGAGCCACGATGACAGGTGTGGACGCAGGAGGTGAGACGAGATCCCACTTCAGGGGCTGAGACAGGACACTGGCAGCTAATGTGACCCGGTCTCTATGCGTCCACAAGAGTCACAGAAGGAAGCCAAGGCCCACAGACAAAACCAGGCCACAGGGAAGACTCTCCTCACAACCACGGGCCCCCACTACAGGACAGACCCCACACACACACCACGGGCCCCCACTACAGGACAGACCCCACACACACCACGGGCCCCCCC